ATATGATTTAGCCATGGAGTTTAAAAATATAACTTATCCAAACTGACAAGTTGTTTGGCAATTTTGGCCAAGAATGCTTAGATGAGTTAGGGATGTATATTAAAAAATTAAAACAAGAACTACCATATATGATTTAGTCATATAGAGCTTAAAAATGTAACTTTTAAGCAATTCCATAACTGGGTGTATATTTAAAAGAAAGGAGGTACATAGAAGAGATATCTGCACTTCTATGCTTATGGAAGCACTATCACAACAGCCCAAATAAAGAAAACATCGTATATATTCACCATGGAATATTATTCAGCCATAAACAAGAGTGAAATCTTATCATTTGCAGCAGCACAGATGAAACTGGAGGTCATTATGTTAAGTGAAATAAGTCAAGCTCAGAATGACAAAGATCACATGTTCTCAGTTATTTCTAGGAGCTAAAATGGTAGATTGCTAAAGACAGAGAGGCCAAGAAAGATAGGAGAGGAGGAGAGAATGAAGAAAGGTTTATTAATGGGTGCAAATATACTATAAGATAGAAGAAATAAGATGTAGTGGTGACAGATACACTGCTGTGGGGTGACTCTATAATAATCTATATTTCAACATAGAAGAAAATAATTTGAAAGTTTCCAACATAAAGAAGAGACAAACATATTTAAGGTGATGGATATCCTAAATATACCAATTTGATTTTTACAAATTATATTGATTATACTAAAATATTGCATGTACCTCCCAAATACGTACACCTTTTATGTATCAATTAAAAAATTAAATTAAAAAAGGAAATCACTAGATAGATGTTCTTCATTAGGTTAGAAAAAGTCAAAATATATGGAACGAAAGATTGGAGGGTTGAGGCACTAACCTAAATTTCAATTTAACAAATTAGATGCAGAATTTGAGTAGAATACCTTAAAGCAGTAGCCCATGGGGAGGAAGACACAATTGCAGGGTGTACACCGAAAGGAACTCCCTTGTGTTTGCCAAGTTCTTGGCTTAGCCTTCTGCACTAGGCCCTGGCCCTGGGAATGGTGGCCCATCTCCTCAAAAGTGTGACTAGTCCCTCTTATAATGTGTCCTTCCCAGGTCTAACTAGGTGCAGGAAGGGGAGAACCAAGTCCCCTTGTGGTACAAGATATAGACTTTCTACCAATGATAGAAATTTGAGAACGAGTCTTCTTCAAATTTTATAGTCCCTATCCAAGAAAAAGAGCCGCATTTTCCCTTTAATCACCAGTGTCTAACCTAAATGTGCATGTTGTATGCAGAATAAATGCTTAATATGGCAAGAGTGTTGAGAATTTGTGCTCTCTAATTGGAGGTATTAAAGGACATTGCTCTTCTGAGCGTGGTCCTCTGACTACAATATTGGCAGAGGGACTTGCAAGAAATGCCAAATCTTGGAGCTCATCCCAGAACCAAAGGATGAACATCTGTATCCTAACAAAATCTCTATATAAATGGCAACCATCCTAACTTCTGAGATACTCTGCTTTATTTTTTCCAATATTATTTTTAGAGAAACTGCATGCATCATGAAGACCCCCAATTTTCCATAAAATTGGTAAAGAGGAAACCTTTATTAATAAATTTATGTTTTTTTCATTCAATCATTCTCAATATTAGTTTTTCTGGTTGACTGGGGATAGAAAATCTGTCTAGTTTATGAGATTCATTACAGACTTTCAGTTTGAATCTTGCAGTACATGTGGACTACCTTTTGGGGGGGTTCAATATCAAGTAGTATTTTCATCTAACATTGGTTGCTATTTAGATTTTAGCTCTTCCCTAAATCAACAAATGATCATCTTTTACAGTAAAATAAGTATTTTGCTCATTATGATCTTAATGAGCAAAATATTATCTTATTAATAGATGGTTTCTTTTTGCAGACGTTAACCCATGTGGTTCTGAGGAAACATACACAAACTCTTCTCCATCAAGAACATGTTTAGAATGGGAGCCATAATAGGATAGTTTTTGTTTCTTCTCACTGAGGCTTTTCTTTCCCTTTCTCCCTCCTCCTTCATGTTAGTATAATCAGCAAACAATGAAGAATGTTATTTACAAATGTTGGAAGCACTGAAGTTCAAACTGAGCTAGCAAACATTTGCTTGTATTTAGTACACACTAAAACTCAAATAAACTCCATAGTGTTTACATTTTTAATATATTTAACATTTCTTGCTAAAGTTTGAACAACTCTTTGCAGATCAAAGTCTCTTTTTTTTCCAAATCAAGACTTATAATGAGCCGGAATCACAACCACATGACGTTAGGCCATTTTGTTTAGAGCTAACCCCAAACGACAGAGACAATATGGTTTCCTCTAAAGGTGAAGCTGAAAAGGAACTCTTATTCTCTATTTTCGACTTTATGAGTTATTTTTCCAGACTAAGTTTATATTCTTGACCAAATCAAAAATGACATATAGCAGTCTATTCTTCTTACTCATTGAATAGCCCTGATAGTTAAATTCTTAAAATTACATGCCCTTTACGTGTAAGATGCTTGATAAGTCACCTTGGGAATAATTGACATCACAGAAATTTTAGCATTTAGAATCATGACATGAACATTCATTCAATAAAGTATACAATTTTAAAAAATGTATCAAATTCGAGGACTTCCAAATCTCAATTGTCATACCTTTCATAGAGAACCTAATTCATTTAAACTAATTCATTCATTGCTTTAACCACATGAATAATTAGGAAGCAGCATAATACATGGGCTGAAGAATTTCCTTATCATTAGAGAATTGATCAGGAGATCGTTTAATGTAATTAATGATTATGTATTAATTTAATGTAAGTTGAATATATACATCTATAGTAATTTAGTAATTATAATATATAGTAATTTAAGTAAATATATATGCACATATATCTCAGATAGACATTGCCAACTTAAATGGGTAAGAAGTCGTATAGAGCTAGACTAAAGCCACTGACTTCTTTGAGTTGAGTTTGACCTCACAACTCCATTGGTGAAGGTCATCGGAGACCACGTACATGGAATGTGACTCCCTGACAGCGTCACCTGGCAGCTTCACAAGCTCTAAGGGTGTCAGACAGGAAACAAAACGAAAGAGGTGGGCCTATTCAAATCTGTTGAGGCACATTTTGCTGTAAGCACCATCTGAACTAGAAAGGGAAATCAATCCTATTCAACAACATCTTAAAATACCTTTTTATGCCAGTTTTGGCCTAACCTGTTTCTTTTCTGTTTCACCCTGTGAGCTTCGGTGCCTGACATTTCACATCTACTTCTGGGAGAGTGGATGATGTAACTCCCTATAACAAAAAAGAGATCATTTGCTTTTTATAAACCCCAGGCATTTACTTATTAAAAATGGAAGTTATTATTCATTATCATAGTTTCATATACACTTAGGAAACTAGAAAACAAAAACTATTTTCTCAATAAAATCTTATTTTGTCATTGACATTCATTTAGAACAGACACATATTGTTAAATAATAATTTTATAATCATGACTGTCATACAGATAGATGTAATCTTAACATATGTCAATTTGTATTTACCTGATCCATTAATGAGGGAGCGAGTACGATGTTATAGTTTGAAGAAGTTCTCAAATCCCCATATACACAGTCCAATAAGAATTGCTGAAATGACATTATAAACTAGATTCAAAAACTGGCAAAACTATTGATATCCATAGAATGCATGTCCAAGGGATGCAATATCCAATGTACACAATTGCACTAACACGGGCAAGAATTATTTTCATTGCTCTCATTTTCTACAAATTACATAGCTGGAAAATAGCTAAAGTAAATGAAATCCCCAGAGCCTCCAAAGAATCCAATACCTGGGAGGGAATGGTGGGAAAATGACCTGTTTTTTCATTCACTACACCCAATAATCATTTGTCCTTTTCTAAGCCTTTCACAATCTCACCCTACAATTTCCCTGTGGAGGGAAACCACCAAATGGAATGAGTTAGAAAATAAGATGAAGTTTAAGTCCAATGCATAGCATAAGATGAAGTTCAAGTCCAATGCATAGCATCATTTAGCAAAT